AGGAGGAACTCAGCGCTCCTGGGTTCATCGATCGAACCCAGCAACGATGAACCCAGGAGCGCCTGCTGGGTTCATTGATTGAACCCAGGAGGAACCCAGCGCTCCTGGGTTCATCGATCAAACCCAGCGCTCCTGGGTTCATCGATCGAACCCAGCAACATTGCTGGGTTCGATCAATGAACCCAACAGGCGCTGTTGGGTTCGATCGATGAACCCAACAGGCGCTGTTGGGTTCGATCGATGAACCCAGCAGCACCGTTGGGTTCATTCATCGATCGAACCCAACAACGTCGCTGCGTTCCTCCTGGGTTCAAATCGATGAACCCAACAGCACTCCTAGGTTCATCAACGAGGATCTGGGGAAGATGATGAATGCTAGAGATTGAAATGAATGGATAATAAAAGGAAAATGGAAAGAAATTGATGTGTGGTTGAAGATGAGGTTAAAAATGTAATTTTAGTTTTATAATTAATTTTAAATATTTTAATTTTTATTAAAAATTACGTGTCAAGTTTTTTTGCCACGTTGTCAATCTTACATGTCAAAATATTTTTACATGTCATCATTTTTGGTCAACTAATGGGACATATAAGCAGATTTTTAACGGAGGGACCAAATCGAGGTAAAAATGGTAAACAGTAGGGATTAAATCAGAGATTTTTTGAGTTAAGGGACTAAGTCGGGGGTCCGTACAATAGTTGAGGGACCAAAATGGAGTTTATCCTATTAGAAACTGATCATAGCATTTAATATTATTTTAATAAAAAAACAAAACTTCTTATGTACACCTTTTATATTATTATTTTTTGTATTCAACACTTGCATGGTTCAAAACTAACGTAAAATCCCAAAGGTTAACAGGCACGTCGAGTGCCTCTGACGTGGACATTAAGTTCCGTTAATGGTTGATGACTTGTCAAGCCTCTGATGACTTGGATAAACTTTATCTGAGGTGGCTTTTTATAGACGTGGCACATGAGTCCCGCGTCTGGAATTTCGTTATAGTCCCTAAATTTATCAAATTTTGAATAAGATTGGTCCTTTTACATTGTAAATTTTAAATTAGTAACCCACCTCAAAAGAAAACAAACTTTACCCATGTGACTATGTGAGTGCATTGATCTTTTCATCTTCCCAAGCTTATTGGTTTGAAAAATCAAAGTAAATTTGTTTGAAATGCATGACTGGGTTTACTTGTTAAAGAGCTGTTTTAAAATCACAACATGACTTGAAGCAAAACTAAACTTGCCATTAAATATTTTTATTGTTAAGATATTTTGTTTCAATTTCTGATTCAAATTCAACAAAGACAAGTTCAGAGGCGTAAATTAAAGTGAAAAGAGAAGACATATAGTTCAAGAAACAGTGTGTGGTTTTGGGCGAGAAATAGGTTTAAACCTGACCCGAAGCTTGGCGGTCACATGGTTCGCTGAACGAAGGCGCCATTCAGGAAGGAGGATCGTCAAGGCCCAAGCAAATAGACGGCGACATGACATCAAATCGATGAGAAACTGATCGCAAAAGTATAAAGCTAGAGCGAAGAGAATTAGAAAACGAGAAGAAACAAGATGAATCACCGGATATCACATGAGGAAGGTGCCCAAAAAAACCAGCGATGGCAGAAAGATAAAAAATGCTGCGAAAGAAAGGGAACAGAGCAGTTCAATTGGAGCACACCCATTTTGATGTTATATGGGTTTCAAACCCATCTGCAAACCCTAGATCTTCAATAGGGGGGAACTTGTTCCTTAAACAAATTGAAGAGGACAGTTTAGTCCTTTCATTCTTTTCAACAATTATTTTATTTTAAAATAGGATTAAGGCTATCTATCGTCCCTCTACTATTAAAAATAGTGCATTCTAAACCTTCTACTATGGATTAGTTTCATGTCGTCCCTCTACTATTAATTAACTCCACTTTTCGTCACTCTACAATGCAGAAACACCCCAATGTTATCCCTCCGTCTACTATAACTAACGATGCTATTTATTGGCAGTTAAATGCAATGGTCACATTGGTTTTTTTTTTTTTCCGCCCTTTCTTGTGGGCCCACCCTTGTTACATCACCCCTCACACAAATTTTTTTGCCTTAGCCTGGACTTCCTACTGCCTCCCCAACCCCAACGTGGATCCTGCAGAAGGAATTATGGAATTTACAATTGATAATTTTTAAATAATAAAATATAAAAATCTCATAATTTAAGAAAATAATAGGTAAATAAAGAGGACAACTTTGCTATTAATCTATTTAAAAATATAAACTTTTTAAAATTTTAAATTAAATAGTAAACTTCTTCTTTTTTTTTAAATGATAATATAAAATTTTACAATTTTTCTTACCTTTGTTTTAAGATTTGTTAGAGAATGACGACATTGTAACAAATGACAATTTTAATCATAGGATAATATTTATGTATTTAAATTAAAAAAGTGAAAATTTACTATAATATGTTTCAAGAATTAAGGCAATTTTAAGTAATTTAGTGAGACATTGAGATATATAATTTACTAGCATATTCAGCAAAGGTTTTTTTTTTTTAATTTAAAAATTCAAAAAAATTAAAAAGGGAAAATTTACTATTTAATTTAAAATTTCAAAAAAATTATATTTTTGAATAAAAAATTTGATAAAGTTATATTTTTATCTAAACATTTTCTAATCAATTGAGAATTCACGAAAAACCAGTGTGTTGAAGATGCAAAAAATTTCATTCAAGATCAAATAGAATAAAATTTTTTTGCTACAGTTCCCACTCTTTTTGTATTCTGTTTGATCTTGAATGAAATTTTTTATATCTTCAACACACTGATTTTTTGTGAATTCTCAATTGATTAGAAAAGATTCAGATAAAAATATGACTTTATCAAATTTTTTATTCAAAAATATAAAATTTTTGAATTTTTAAATTAAATAGTAAATTTTCCCTTTTTAATTTTTTTGAAATTTTAAATTTAGAAAAAAAAGACCCCTGCTGAATATGTCAGTAAACTATATATCTCAGTGTCTCACGAGATTATCTAAAATTTCCTTTATTCTTAAAGTATATAATAGTAAATTTTTACTTTTTTAATTTAAATACATGAATATTATCTTATTTTGATTAAGATTATCATTGGTTATGTTATCATCATTCTCTAATAAATCTTCAAAAAAAAAAATAAGAAAAATTGTAAAACTTTATATTATCATTTTAAAAAAAGAAGAAATTTACTATTTAATTTAAAAATATAAAAAGTTTATACTTTTAAATAGATTAATAACAAAATTGTCATCTTTATTTATCTATTATCTTCTCAAATTATGAGATGTTTATATTTTATTATTTAAAAATTATCAATTGTAAATTCTATAATTCCCTTCTACAAGATCCATGTTGGGGTTGGGGAGGCACTAGGAAGTCCAGGCTAAGGCAAAAAAATTTGTGTGAGAGATGATGTGACAAAGGTGGCGCCCACAAGAAAGCGTATGAAAAAAATGGGTTAAAGCCAACTGTAGTCCCTCTACTCTTAATTTTTATTCATGTTCATCCCTCTATAAGTGTCAGCCCTGTACTCCCCTTATTTTGTCTGTTGTCATCCTTTTATTGACGGCGTTGTTTTGGCCGTTTATTTGGACCGTTTAATCCACAAATGGTCAATGATCAAGTGTTGAAGCATTTCTTGAAATTTATTATTCTAAGTGTGTTGCCAGCTAGGAGAGAAGCAAGGGGGTTGGGTATCAGAGAGTGAACATGCATGTTGCTATTTTCAAATGAGATTTTGCTTAATCTAAAGACAAATGACGTTCTAAGTGTTGTATCTT